AATGAGTGAATCACTGAATCATTTATTCAACCGATTAGTTCAAAAAGCTGATTCATTCAATAAGTAAACACCGTCCATTGCTCAGAGACACAAAACAGTGCTGTGTGTTTGGAACTATTTTCTTTGGCAAAATTGAGCAAAAACAAGCAATATTATATCTAAAATGTAAGCCACTTACTGCTTTACTGCACTTGTATAAAATGATTATTAAATGTGTTCATGTTGATATCTGCAGAAAAACGGTACTCTTTGTGTGATATAGATTAAGTTAACTATATTAAATTATATAAATTTAAAAAGCATACAGAAGCATTTTTGCTATCTACAATTTAGAATGCCTGGAATTTTGAGTTTTAATATACTAATATATCAACGTGCGTACGCTCTGTGTGTGATTTGGTGAAATAGCCTACTTGATAATGTCAGATCGCACATTATTAAAATAACACTTACCATATTATCGAAGATATACTGTATATCGTACACCCCAGACTTGACTTGAGTGGAAAATTAAATCATCCGCGGTTGTGCACGCACTCGTTTGCACATGAGCAAAGGTGTTTTTATAATAATTTAATTAATTTTAATTTAATAATAATTTATGCATTTAGCAGACGCTTTTATCCAAAGCGACTTACAGTGCATTCAGGCTATACATTTTTTACCAGTATGTGTGTTCCCTGGGAATCAAACCCACGACCTTTTGCGCTGCTAACGCTCTACCACTGAGCCACAGGAACATCTATGAGTCTAACTTGCAAATGCCAGCCCACTGATTCGTCAAACCTGCTTTCCTGCAGTCCGTGTTCTTCTGACTTCTGACTATTTTGTAGTAAGTAACGAATATGCTTCGGGGAAATGTATCGGAGTAAAAGTATATATTTTAATTAGGAAATGTAGTGGAGTAAAAGTAAAAGTTGGCTGAAATATAAAAACTCAAGTAAAGTACAGGTTCTCCCAAAAAATACTTAAGTACTGTAACAGTATTATTACTTCGTTACATTACACCACTGAGAACATCAATATGCAAATGAACAACAATCGGCATTTGTATGTCAATAACACACGGGAAATGTTTATACAGTGATTGCATAACAGGATTAGCTTGCGATTAGCTTACAGACATGTGTTACGGCATACATGATAAGCACGTCTTTAAACATAAATTAACGGTAGCAGTGTAAATATACAGTATAAAGAAATTAACTTACTCTTTGATGCATGCACACATGCGATTACTCATCAAAGAATCGGGGATGTAATGACATTGTTGTCACCGTTAGGTCCATCGATCTCACGCTTATAATAATAACAGCGCTTACACCTTTTCTAAACTGCGCCAGACTTACTGCGAGACTAATAAACACAAAATGAATAAAACTATTACACAAATAACTGCATGAACATTCAAAACTGGCCCTCAATTTAGTACAGCAGCCCCCAAATGTGCTTGCAGATTTGCATCTTGGGCCACTACTCACAGTAATTCAAGGAGTGAAAGTAGCTTAATCAGTCTGACAGCGGGCCTGATGTAGGTTCTGTCTTCTGACCTGAACCTCCGCAGCTCTGACTTTACCATCAGCTCCAGGTATGACAGCTTTCACCTTTCCAGTGGGCCAGAGTGCTCGGGGGAATTGTGGGTCAGCGATCATGACTGCCGTCCCAACTGTCAGGTTATCTTTCTCTTGTTGCCACTTCTGGCGAGACTGGAGTCCAAGCAGGTAGTTACGCAGATAACAGTTCCAGAACTGGTCAGGTTTGGCTGTGTCTCCAGTGTTTGCGGATGAGCAGTTCAGATTCAGGCTACATTACCTGAGGTAAAGCAGAATCCAGTCGTCCCATCAAGAGTGAATTATGTGTTATTGGGTCTGGATCAGCAACATCAGAGTATACATATCCCAATGGCTTTGAATTTAGAATTCCCTCTATTTCAATTAGGACAGTCCTGAGCACTTCTTCTGTGACAGTTTGTGCACCAATGGTTGTGTACAGTGCAGCTTTAACAGATCTAATCTCTCTCTTCCAGGATCCACCGAAGTGTGGGGAGTTTGGTGGATTGCACTGAAAGTCGATCTGTTGCTTGGCAAGCTCTGTTTGCAACTGTGTGAATATTGTTGACGGCTTCCTTCAGCTCACGGTCTCTGCCTTTGACATTGGTGCCCTGATCGCTGAGCAACTCGTGAGGTTTCCCCTACGGGCGATGAATCTGCGTAGAGACATGAGGAAGGAGTCTGTGTCTGCTTGAGATAGAAGGTCGATGTACAATGCCTTTGTGGTTAAGCACTTATAGATGATGCCCCAGCGTTTCTCATTTCAACGCCCAATTTTGATGGTAAATGGGCCGAAACAGTCCATGCCTGTGGAGTAGAAGTCTGGCTGGAAGAGTCTTAGGCTAGAAGGGGGTAAGTCTGCCATTTTAGAGATGTTGGGCATGCCACACCATTTCTGACGCTCAGTGCGGTGATGCTGAATTGATCGAACAGCTTGACAACCTCT